CGCTGTCGCCATCTCTTGGTGTTCGTTAGAACTATCAAGTAAAATTAGGTCATGACGGACAAAACTGTGTCAATGTCAAGGTCGTATCGATTTCGGTTTCCGCTTTCCGGCGAAGACTTTTCTCAGTTGGCCATGATTCTTCTCCCAAGGTGGTTGTCCTCGCAGCAGCAGCAGCAGCAGCACGCGAACTAGCTGGTGAGTCCATGTTTTTTTCTTGAAATCTTTCGGTAGCATTTCAATGCTGGAAATCTTCATCCCTTCAAGGTACTATTTATTCTGCTCACCTTTATGGGGCCTAACCGAGTTGCCCAAATGCAGTATAAGAGACCCAGACGTCCCGACTTCGACCACGTGACTCTTATGCCGACCGGACCCTCATCGCCACGTTCCTGCTCACCAATGTTCAACAAGGTTTTTTTGTTAAAACCCTCGATCCAAACGAGGTGAGTTATTCTGTCTCCCCATCAGTGATCCAGGCGGTCTCTATACGCCCCATAAATTATTTTAGGGATTTATGTTGGAGTTTTGAAGGCCACCCATCCACGTGTCCCGTACCTCATTCAGGGGCTATGTATGCAGCAGGGGGCCCTATCAGTCTACCGAATGTCGTGGAGACCATGATTTGCATTTCCCAACTTCAAGGCGCAGGTTTTTGATTCACCTCGGACCTGAATAGCTGACTTTTAATCCTCCAGCCACCAATTTTGAAGCTGCCCTTCAATGTCGCCATCTTGTGACCATCTTCCATGTCCAGTAACCGTCGACATCTAGCAGATACCTGTTTATTGGATAACTCAGGTTTTTTTAGTATTAAGTCCATTGACTATTAATTTTACATAACTTTTACATATTTACATATCAATTATTATGGAGGTATAATTTTTCAAATTTCAACACACTGTATGTTCAAACCCTACTTGAACTTTGGAAATTACATGTATCAGACATGAATCATAACAACGTTCAGCGGAAAATGCGCATATTGACCCCCAAAAATTCATGAATTTTCAGGGTATAATCAACATCAATTATAATAGTCCAATAACAATATTCTTCAAAATGGGTTTATAGGAATTTGAACTAAAGTGTCAATCATATAAGTATCATATCTGATAACATCAGGAATTGAAGAGCTTCCATAATATTCTACTATAATGTATATAATTATTAATGTATTTCATGAAGGAATTTTTCATCATTAAAATTGTGGGTATTTTTGAAGTTTCCATGTTTTTACTGATATCTCTCTCTCTTCAAACTCAATCCACAGGTTTCTGATTTTACCCTAGACGTACTATCTATGTTCTGAAAGAATCAGTGGCGTCCAAAAATTAATTATATACTCAAATACATATTAAATTCACAGTCTATCTGTTTAATCTAGTAATTGATTTTAAAATATTGAGATATCTGAGAAATAGCAAAGGTATCAATCCACACCCATGTGCCGCCGACGAAAAGCTACCAGGTGCAGTGAAAAAGGTAAATTTTACGTTTCACTATTTGGCGCCCAACGTGGGGCGGCACGGCACCAAAATAGTGAAACGTAAAATTTACCTTTTTCACTGCACCTGGTAGCTTTTCGTCGGCGGCACATGGGTGTGGATTGATACCTTTGCTATTTCTCAGATATCTCAATATTTTAAAATCAATTACTAGATTAAACAGATAGACTGTGAATTTAATATGTATTTGAGTATATAATTAATTTTTGGACGCCACTGATTCTTTCAGAACATAGATAGTACGTCTAGGGTAAAATCAGAAACCTGTGGATTGAGTTTGAAGAGAGAGAGATATCAGTAAAAACATGGAAACTTCAAAAATACCCACAATTTTAATGATGAAAAATTCCTTCATGAAATACATTAATAATTATATACATTATAGTAGAATATTATGGAAGCTCTTCAATTCCTGATGTTATCAGATATGATACTTATATGATTGACACTTTAGTTCAAATTCCTATAAACCCATTTTGAAGAATATTGTTATTGGACTATTATAATTGATGTTGATTATACCCTGAAAATTCATGAATTTTTGGGGGTCAATATGCGCATTTTCCGCTGAACGTTGTTATGATTCATGTCTGATACATGTAATTTCCAAAGTTCAAGTAGGGTTTGAACATACAGTGTGTTGAAATTTGAAAAATTATACCTCCATAATAATTGATATGTAAATATGTAAAAGTTATGTAAAATTAATAGTCAATGGACTTAATACTAAAAAAACCTGAGTTATCCAATAAACAGGTATCTGCTAGATGTCGACGGTTACTGGACATGGAAGATGGTCACAAGATGGCGACATTGAAGGGCAGCTTCAAAATTGGTGGCTGGAGGATTAAAAGTCAGCTATTCAGGTCCGAGGTGAATCAAAAACCTGCGCCTTGAAGTTGGGAAATGCAAATCATGGTCTCCACGACATTCGGTAGACTGATAGGGCCCCCTGCTGCATACATAGCCCCTGAATGAGGTACGGGACACGTGGATGGGTGGCCTTCAAAACTCCAACATAAAACCCTAAAATAATTTATGGGGCGTATAGAGACCGCCTGGATCACTGATGGGGAGACAGAATAACTCACCTCGTTTGGATCGAGGGTTTTAACAAAAAAACCTTGTTGAACATTGGTGAGCAGGAACGTGGCGATGAGGGTCCGGTCGGCATAAGAGTCACGTGGTCGAAGTCGGGACGTCTGGGTCTCTTATACTGCATTTGGGCAACTCGGTTAGGCCCCATAAAGGTGAGCAGAATAAATAGTACCTTGAAGGGATGAAGATTTCCAGCATTGAAATGCTACCGAAAGATTTCAAGAAAAAAACATGGACTCACCAGCTAGTTCGCGTGCTGCTGCTGCTGCTGCTGCTGCGAGGACAACCACCTTGGGAGAAGAATCATGGCCAACTGAGAAAAGTCTTCGCCGGAAAGCGGAAACCGAAATCGATACGACCTTGACATTGACACAGTTTTGTCCGTCATGACCTAATTTTACTTGATAGTTCTAACGAACACCAAGAGATGGCGACAGCGAAAATGCCAAAATCCTTACATAGTTGAGTATGCTTTGAACAACGTCCGAATGCTAAAATCCATGCATAGTGGAGTCCCTTTCGAGCAAGGTCTGAACGAGGCATCGGAAATAAGATATTCATGCGTAGAACGACTAATTCACGGCAGAGGAATTCGCCAAATACGAAGGAAGAATGAGAGTAGAAACTGTCTGACGGTCAGTACAGTACGGTCACAAGGTCACGGTCACGACATAACCAAGCAGTGAAGAAGTAAACATTGAATATTGAATAACTCGCTGGGATATTTATGAAAAGCAATGAAAAGATATTTCAACCAATTTCCCACAACTATATCTAACTATACAATATTTACATATAAACACGGGAGGAGTATATCGTACGTATCTTTTGTTATTCCTTGTCTGATTTTCAGTGTTTGTGAATTCCCATGATTGTTGTTTTCTTTATTTTCAGAAAAACATTGGAAATACAGAAATTTGATAATCATCATTGAATAGAAGACTACCTCAAGCAGATTCATAATATTGTATGGTCCACGTATCATGCAAAAAGATTCAGGTAGGATTTTCATTTGATGAAATATTTGTGTTGCTTTTCAATGTTGACATTCAGATTAATTTTATATTTAATTTGTTTCAGGATACCCACAACTCATGAGACACAAGGAGAGGCAGCGTGGTATACAGTGTGTTCAACTAGACATACCTCTTTGAACTATGTTACAAAATATACAATAAAAGTGTCTGACTTCTATAGTGTTTCCTTTGAGAGTTTTATCTGGGATTTTAGTAGAAGATCACGTAGAAAAGTAACGTTTTGATGTAGGCTAGTTATATTGGAAAATAAAAACGTTACAACAGGAGTCATCAACCATGGTTCTTGAGGATAACCAGAGTCACCCAACAGCCAAGTATTTCTTTGGCCATTTGTATAATCATTTTGAAGCTGATGTTTGATTAGGGATTGACGCCAAATGAACGAATCATGACAACTTCCTGGAAAATTTGCATTGACATTCAAAATCAATAAATCCTGATCACATATCAACTGGACATTTTTTGAGTGGAAACCTTTTCTGTTAACATAGTTATGCTCTTCGTCTGGTGGAGCTATCATGGCAATATGAGTACAATCAATTGCACCAATAACTCCAGGCATGCCACATTTCTCAAAGAATTTTATCTTGTTCCTGGCCATTTGTTGATCTCCTGGAAATGATATCCATTCCCCGTGAAAATGATCTTGAATAAGAAGTGATACTTCAGAAATGCATCTACTAAGTACTTGTTGGCTCATTGCTAAGCAGTATTCTTGGCCTACACCTCTTTGGTAATTCCCAGTTGCATAAAACCGCAATACTGCTAATATTCGTAGTTCACAAGGAATTTTTGTTGATCTTGATGACGGCTGCATTAATGGCACTAGTTCATCAAATAGAAAATTAGTGATATGCTTGTTGACTCTGAATAAATCGATGAATCTATCATCCGTCAAAGAAAAAGGGTCACTTCTATCAGGAAGAAATCTATTTTCTTCTCGATAAAGACGTAATTGATCTCTACGTTCAACAGCATCGAAAATAGCAATATTAGCTGGCAACATTATTTATTATTTCTGATGAGAATATGAAAACAAACCCAAGAACCAAACATAACCTTCTCAATCTCAATGTTTGACAATTAATTACGGTGTTGCCAAATTTAACTCCATCAAATCGTTTGGTTTCGTAAAAAGTCGTATAGCAATAACGAAAGCATAACGTAGCATAACGAACTCGATACAGAGTACGTATAAACAAAGCATACGCTTTTGCTTTGCTTCGCTTTCGCTATGCTTCTGCTTTGTGAAACGAGTTACAGAGTCCCACTGCAGGTTTGTGTGGTTAACTTCGAGGAAAAATGGCTGATATCTCTCGCCTATTAGGTTTTCATTTAGATCGACAATGGTTCAGCTCACCTGCAGTAGATACGCCCTGTTGCTGAAAGTGTAGCCGAGGATGCGCTCGACGGCATGCCAGTGCGGCAAGTGATAGTCGATATTTGCCTGCGTCGCCTCTTTGTTAAGCACCGGCGATATCGGCGGCTTTCTCAGCATGCCTGCGAGGTCCTCCGATGCCGGCACGATGCCCATCCATTCCACGAATTTTATTCCGCCTGAAATGTACCATTGTCAGTTATGTATACAGGGTGTTGCGAAATTCGACCGACAACGCCTGACAGGTGATAGCCCTCGTGATTTCATAATCACTGAGATAGGGACATACGGTCTCCAAGTGTTCAGTTCTCGAGATACAAGGCGTTGAAGTTGAGAAATAAAAATAGTTGTTTCGCAATATCTCAAGAATAATTGAATATAATGCATTCAAATTCGGTATATGGTTTCATCTTTGTATAGGTCATTTTTTACCAGAAAGAAATTCCGGAAATTTTATCCAGTGGTGCCCTACAGGGGGTTGTGGTAACTTTCCCTCCCATATTTTCTACGCCACTGAGTAGATTTCGATTATTTCCAATTCCTCGAATTTATTGTTCAATTTTGTTCAAAAAATGTATCACCTTTAACTGAGCTGAAATGAATAGTTTTCGAGATATTCGACCCAAAATAGAAGATTGCATAGTAATATTTCATTACTTTCAGTAGTAGAAAATTGCAAAAATATATTTCTGGTGTTGAGTAGATCAGATACTATTCAGATCTCATCCTGTAGCTGAACAGAAATAGTTATTCCACGCATTAAGAGAAAACAAACATTTTTGTTATTTTCTACTACCGAGGAAGATGAAAAATTACTATGCACACTTCTATTTTGGGTCGAATATCTCGATAACTGTTCATTTAAGCTCAGTTGAAGGTGATGCATTTGTTCAATATAATTGAACAATCAATTCGAAAAATTGGAAATAATCGAAATTTCGTCAGTGGCGTAGATAATATGGGAGGAAAAGTTATCACAACCCCCTGTAGCGCACCTATGGATAAAATTCTCGGGATGTCTTTCTGGTCAAAAAATTAACAAATGAAAGATGAAACCATATACCGAATTTGAATGCATTATATTCAATTTTTCTTGAGATATTGCGAAAGGCCTATTTCAATTTCTCAATTTCTTCAATTTCTCAGTGATTATGAAATCACGAGGGCTATCAGGCGTTGTCGGTCGAATTTCGCAACACCCTGTATACATCACATTTTGTAAAGATATTAATAAATATAGTCCATGAAAGAAATACGAACATAAGGCAGAACCTCGGAATTCGTTAAAGAAGGTTCGATTCTGATAGGACCACAGAACTCATAATCTTTATATCCTATAGTCCAAGAGCCGGCTGCAAATTTCGACCTTCATCTGATGAAGAAATGATATTATGTCCCAAAGGCATGTAACATATCACTGAGAGGTGACAAACTATAAGAAAAGAATTCCGGAAGGAACATATTTTGCATTTTATGTTGAGAACGGGAGCAGATTCATTCCCGAAACGTCCAAAGATAAGTAAAGATTCGATATTTTTCAATAAAATCATATTTCATCTCTTCAAACATTTTTCCAGACAGAGTGCCACTGACAAGCTATTGGATTTTTCTTTTAGGCTCCCAGATAGAAAAATTTGTTAAACGCAGTAATATTTGATTGATTGTCTTTATTACCCGAAGAAACATAGTTGTTTATAATAGGGATACATAAACAATATACATAATGTTATACATATAATAGGCTTATATCACGAAAAAAATTTATTTCATATTTCGATAGAACTCGCCCAAACTAGCTCACCAACGCAAACCGTTTCTTGCTGTGAGCTCCCTACGATATAAAAAATTATTGAAATCCCCGATTTTTCGGACCTCTGAAAACGGGGCGATGATGTGACGTCAAAACCCGAATACTGAAACAAGACTATTCCAGATAGAGATGAATGATACATGATTTCTGACAGAGTGAATCAGCGCGAGGTCATAGTTGAAAGAATTAATATATCAGTTGCCTCAGTCTCCATCGGGCGTTTAGTATTTTCTTTTAACTATGGCGAGATGAGGTTTCTACGTCATAAGAGGGTCTGTTTTCAGAAGGTACTATTATTTATGACCAAAAATAAAACATTCCAGTTAATTTTTCGATCGAATTATGTCGTCAATCATTATTTATGTATAAAAGGATCATTATAAACATGGTTTGAGTTAAAAGTTCTACTAAGGTGTACACGCCCATTATGAAATTATGATAAGATATAACAAGTAAAAAAATGCAAATAATCATGCAATATCAACCTTGTCTTTTATAAGTAGGTATTCAAATAAGAAATAAAATTATCAAAGTCCATGAAGCAGATATTTTATCAAGTTAATTTTGAATCTAGTTGCTTCCTGTATATTCCTCAATTGACTTGGTAATGAGTTGTATAGAACGATTCCTGTGTGAAAAATGGATTGTTTGCCGATATTTGACTTATACGTATTTGCTATTAGTAAATTTGATTGTCTTCAATTGAAATTTAAATTCGAAATTTTTTCAATTTATATAGGACAAATTGAATAAAACAACATATTTCAAGTTTGTATAGTGATGTCAGATCTAATGAATCTCTGGGTTTGTATAAATTCATGGTGGTCCGAGAAAATTTTAATTGAAAATACACTTCAATGTTTCATTTTGTTATTTCATTAGTGAACTCAAACGTGAAATATTGGTACTTCCCCATATTGAAATTTTGAGTAAATAAGAGAGAAATAAATACTCTTCAAGTATCTAGTAGAAATGAAATTTCGTATTTTGAATAAAATGCCTGTAATGGGATTAAGTTTGTTTCTCAAATGATCTATATGATTATTCCACAATAGTCGTTCATCAATATAAAGACCTAAAAATTTTTTAACATCTGTATATTTGATGAGTTTAGTTGAAGGATAGTGTTCTATTCGAAATGTTCAGTGTTCTTTTTGCTATGTACATATATGAGGATTTGTTTGTCCTACTACACATATATTGATATAATACTCATATTTTTATTTTATAAAAACGAGGATAAAATCCCAAATAATCAAGTAAAATCAATGTACCCCTTCCTCGATTAACCTACACAGTATTTAACAAAACTGAGATGTTTATAATTCCTCTGGTGTGCCCACTCTTCAATTGTTTCGTCAGACCAGCTCTCGATATGGACAATTGAATGCGAGTTCAGAACGTGGGGTTCTCATATTCGATGATAGATGGCGTGAGCAATGGACGATTTCTTGAAAAATGTCAAAATGCGTTTCAAATCTCATTATGAAGTTGAACTAGACTTATAAGGATGTGTTTTCCTTCTTCGGGGACCTGAAGAGTCCCGTTGATGATGCACGAATTCAAAAATAGCTGATAAGAAGGATCTAGAGACAGGACGAAAAAGAGACAGGGCGCAACAAATAATGCGTGCGGAAACATCTCGACATCTGTCACGAGTGTCATATTTTCGGCATATTTATGATTTCGTTCAAATTTCAAATAGAAATATTATAAATTAAGAGCTTTAGTAGTTTATCAAGCAGGTATTGATATTATATTATTAGTTGAGTGAGCGTATTGTGCTTTCATTAAGGACTGACTGCTGCAATGTGTGAGGATTATTTGAAAATCCGAACATTCGATTTTCTTGAGTTAGGACTTAGTATCGTTTATGAATTCATCATTGAAAATCGAAAATATAACGCACCCTTTCTATTTAAACAAAAAATTGTGAAAATGAAAATGGGAATTCAAATGAATGTGTCATGATGCCTGTAAATTTGGTTTGAATTTCGGAAATTCAGCAAGATTCTCCCACGCCTCGCTATTTTTACAAAGTAGGCGATATCGAGAAATTTCGAAACTCCTTTCAATAGGAAGTGATAACACCATTAAACTTTCTATACATTTATAACAAAACTATTGAATTATGCTATTGTCATCGGTTCTTGATAAGTGTGCGAAGGATTATGCGTTACATACAAACATCCATACCAACCTAATATAAGAGTGTTAAAAAGCGTTGAACTCACCTAGGATTCCGCAAGAGCTGATATAAGCTCCCAACAGCGACTCCACCACATCGGCGACGTGTTTGTCGCCGATGTACTGGCTCTTGAGGAAGGGGCCTTTGCCGTGGTACGACAACTCTTCAGTATCATCGGGAACCTTGAAAATAAATGGAAGAATTTTATTTTTCATAATTATACAGTGGGTCTACCTATTCTATCTCACCGGGCCGGAGCATCCCTTTCGTGACGGCACACTAATAGCGACAAAATCGAGGCGATGGAAATTGCCATTCCCATTTTATTGATGTACCACGGGAAAACGGTAATAGTTATCAAAAAATGTCAAGAGGTCAAATATGGACAGAATAGACTTTTTCAAGAGATGAATCAATATTCACTGATTTACGATTAATAGTTCAAGAAATATATCAGATCAAAATAAATTGACTACATTCAGAATTGTCATTTTATAAACAGCTGCTAGAATTCCAATATTCAATTCACAGAAATGATTTATCCATGCGAAGGGTTCTCATGGTATCTAGATTGACTGTAATTTTTTTCAAAATTCCCAAGAGCCAATAACAAACCGATATTTCAATTCAAGTAAAATGATGATTCAGATGATTATTATAGACTAGTTCAAAACGTTTAGACGGCTCCCATGCTAAACCTATTAGCTGTGGATATATGCTGTCACTGACTTTTTCGTGATAAATTTCATTGCCTACAAATCGATGATACTCTTTTACTGTACTTCAAAGGATTTTAGCAGCGTTTGTGTCTAAAGATAATCTGGACACACTTTGATGACGTTAGAAATTATGAACCTACTCGAGTAGAAGTTATTACACAAAAACCTTGACTGCGTAATCATTACTTTCAGCTATGGGATATTTATTTTAGAAATAATCTCATATTAATAAGGATGAATTGATTTGAGAATATTTTTAATATATGAAAATAAAAAGGAACAAAAAACATTTAGCTCTCATAAAGACAATACTAAACGAAAATAATTCTGAAAATATTCAACATAATAAAAGAGAAAAAATAGTCCTATATTACAGAATGTAATGTACTTATAACAAAATATACAGTGTGTCCCAACTAAAACTTGTCACGCCTCAAATCTCCGATTCCGTTAAAAAAATTGAAAGTTGCTCGAACAGGTCGATTTCATTTTGGCTCGAAAGTATACATTATTGGTCAAAGCGGATTTAATATCCCTATCTTAACTTTTGATTCACTATCTACTGATATTTAATAATTGGAACAGATACAGGGTGATCGGAATTCTGAATCTTGAACCAGCCTGTACTTGTACCAATTGAATGTCAGTAGATAGTAAATCAGAAGTTAAGATAGGGACATGAAAGCCGTTTCGACCGATAATGAATAGTTGAAAAATCTCGATTTTGAACACCCCATATCTCTGTAATCATTCCCGTTAGACACGTATGATACATTGATGAAAGTAGCTCTTCAGAAAGAATCTAAGAATTCAATGAAATACAGGGTGTTTCATTTGATAATCGAAAGTTGATGCCCGTTACGCTTCAAGGTTTGAACTTTGGAATTTGATAATTGCAGAAAACTGTGTCCCTCGCCAAATTGAAATCGACCTGTCCGAGCGAATTTCTATTCTTGTTAACGACATCGGATATTAGAAGGTGACAAGTTTTAGCTGGGACACACTGTATATATCACAAACTATAAAATGGGCTCATAGCTTCATATTCATCCGGAAAGTCTGATGACAATATTCAAAATAGTTTTCACAATATCAAAAGAACCACAACTGGAACATAAGTAATAAAACTTGCATTGCCCTTTACCTATAGGGAATTACCGCGAAATCGTTAATACGGGGAAATTAGGTAGGTATAATACTAGACAAATTTTTACGCGCTCTTTATTTCTAATTTATTTCGGACTCATTGTAGGTTGCTCAACAATTTTCTCACTATTTAATTTATGCATCATCCTAGTTTGACATACTCGGTCAGTTTCATTTTATACCGATTCCAAATTGGCAAAAAATATTGTTCCGTAGTACAACGTCCTGATTTTCATTAAAATTGAATTTCTTTACATCATAAATCGGAACTGGTTCATCCTATTGGATTTATTTTTATACCGAAAGTTGGGTAGTTCATCAGGGATCAATTCGTCTCGATTGAGTGTGCTTCTAGTTTTTAAAGTAAATGAACCTTTCAATTACGAGCGCACCGATATGAAATGATGTGGAATCTCAACCTACTAGTGTGACGTCCGTATCGAGATAGAGGGGATAGACTACTGCCCGGTGAGATAGAGTAGGCCCTGGTCTACCTCAAGGATTTGCCTCCCCATATGCAACCTTTATTTTGTATCAATCTTGATGAACTTCTACAAAAATCAAATTCCGAGGAAGAAATGAAACGTTTACAAGACGAAAAAGGCTATAGGAAATGAGTATACTGGGTGTCAACGAATCTATCAGACAAGCAATAACTTCTAGAATATTTGGTGTATCAAAATGGAATTCAATATGGTTCTATGGTATCTGAAGAAGAAAGTTTCCGCACATCTTTCACTTTCCGGTCACTTGCGGTTTTGGATTTTTAAATGCAACACCCTGTTTATCATCACATTTTTGAATGTCTGAGAAAATTCTGGACCACAATGTAACATTTTCAGAAATTTCTACGCCTCTAGGTGGCCATGATCGGACGTATACTCATCTCATGCGATTGAATTGAAAATAACAGTAAATTCATACAAAACATCAAAATTTGCTTTCAATGAAGTCAATACAGTCCATTGTTATGGGGCTAGACAATTGAATCAATTGATATCAAATACATTCAAGTCTAGCATTAGCAAACAATCTGTATTTCATAATTCGCGATAGAAAATAATACGTTGCCCCACCTGACGGCAACAACTTGAACATTTCTGAGCGGTTTATCTTGATGATGTGACCAATGAGCACAAACAAAAAACAAAAGTGAACCAATGAAAACGAAGTGAAGGTGCTTTGACAGCTTTTAAGAACACTGGTAAGTGGCGTACGCTTATTTTCTATCGCGAATGGAATAATTTTACACAATCCATTACCGAATGAATTGTAAGCAGATTCAAAGTTAATCTCAAACAATACCTGGTCAGGACAATTTGAAAAATATTTGGCATGATTTGATCACTCAGAATTAAAATGTTGTAACTTTCATCTTAAGGAAAAGTATGAATTTGTTTCCACTGAGTGGAACTCATCAGTTAACCTTGTAACATTATCATTAATTTTATGTGTTCCTGTATCCCAATTATGAACAAGGGTAGTAAAAACTATCAATCAATCAATCAAATACTGGATTTTACTTCTTCACATTCGTCAAGTGTGACATGGATAGCTGTTAGAGATACATTGTAGATCTAATCACACGCGAGATATATGGAAACACTGATGTAAACGGTGAACAACCAAATAATGTAACCTGGCTCGCAGGGGTGACCTTCATCGCCGAAGCGAGTAGGCCGACTATGATAGACACGTCTTATTCTGATTCACGCATTCCAATAGGCTCTTATCGTCTCATATACAGGGGACTCTCGGGCCACGCTAACAATAGCCATGATGCATATATTTTGCAAATCATTTTGGAGTCTTCTTTGCAAGACAAAACACTGAAGTAATGACAGTGACACAAGCCTTATGAACAGACCATAGTGGAAGGAGAAGATGGTGTGCATACGCGCATATTATGTGACGTCATCTAGGATACCAATATCAGCTGCAAGTCAAAGACAGATACCGTTGTCATAGGCGTGCGCTATGAATTCCAACAAGTTTATTGAAATTTCTATGAGTGTCTCGATTTGTCTAGAAATAATAATGAATAATTTATATAAATAGATAAGGTACCTATTACTCCGATTCTACTTTTCCATTGATTCTGGAATTTGTGATCTTGCGGAGATTCGCAATCGCAAATAGCAAATACATACGAATTATCATGCATTGCTAATCTCATGGAATGATCCACCACTGTGTCGATTCTGACAGATTAAAATTCAGCAGTTAACGACGTTGACGTTGCTTCTGCTTTGACATCGATAACAGGAGTAACATTTTTTGCCGTTTTGTTATTCAAATATTTGCTGCAATTTATATTTTGTGAAAAATGTTTGAATGAAAAGTGTTTTGAATTCATTTTCGATTATTTATAGCTTAATATTCGACGGATAATGTTCTGTAGGAATGGCATCTTGTTTCAAATATTCGTGATTTTTTGGGGGTGTTCAATTCAACAACTGTACTTTCAAACTTGTTTGAGAACATTTTGCATGGAAATGTTTCGAAACGAAACAAGTAGGGATTTTGGAATTATATCATTCAATATTAGAAATAATATATCATAGTTTGGGACATCCATCAGGAAAACAAATAATAACATTGAGTTATATCCAAGTTGAGGTCATGCACAGAACAAGACGAGTTTGAGCTTTCTGTCGAGCGCACCATCTTCTCCTTCTACTATGGAACAGACAGTAAAAGTTATATCAATTTCTTTTAATTTCAGTTCAATTTTCTGTCAAAATAATGTATAATCAAAGTGAAAAGTGGATAGAGAATTAGAGAGTGAGAATATTCCTAAGGCCTGCAGTAACCCCTTGAACTGTTCATCTTGTTCTGGAAATCATAGATAATCATTACATTCATAACTTCTAAAATGATAAAAATTCTTGTTATATAAATTGTGAAATAGAAAATAAAAGGTATAATCCCACTTCTAACATCAACTTTGACATGGAGAAAACCCAAAAACGTCCCGAATTGTCCCAATACATGAATGACATTTCATTAAACAAAAAATTGGTGATGCCAAGCAGCATCTCAAACATAGTATGCTGGGAAATGTAGTAATGAATGCAATTGCCTCTACCTTATCTAAACGTCTGATGACTTCAGACGTCGCTTCAGACAGTTTACCGGAAATCTGCTCATCCTCCGGAATAGTCAGATCGTACAGAGCCCTCAGAGACAAATTCTTCGATTCGATCCGGTCCTGCATCAAACGCGGAATAGTGAAACCTAAAGGAGAATAGAAAAGGCATTTAAAATGACACACTGAAATATCATCTTTCATTAATTCAGATTTTCATTTTCATTGGAGGAAAATGCCATTCACTGTGTTTATTCAGCATATTAATAAAATTTCAATAGACCAAGTATCCTAAGATTTCAGTTGTCAAACTAAAAGAAAATTGACTGTCACAAAATAAACAATGACATGACATTCAAAACGAATAAGTCCAATGATCCTGATGGAATTCCACCCATTATTCTCGAAAAGTGTGCACCAGAATTGACACCGATTCTCTGCAAGCTATCTACCATCTCCTACAAGTCTGCTATTTTTCCATCTAGCTGGAAAATGGCTTGAGTCCAACCAATCCTCAAAAAAGGAAACAAGAGATTTACTTGCCTACGTCACCCATATATGGCAAATTTCATTAGAACAACATGAGGAATCTCTAGGTGTGGCGCTAGATATATCGAAGGCATTCGATGTTGGTAGAAAAAACAAACTTCACGCCTTGAAAAGGAGTAAATAATGGTAGGTTCTATAGCTAGTGGTGGATCATCTCTCACCTGTCGGCAGCCATTCGGTGTCCGGCGACAGCTCATTGAACTTCATCACGCCGCCCAACTCCTTCCGCACCGCCAGATAGTACAAGTTCTTGTTGCTCACCAGCCGCGACTTGAGATTGGTGGCGCGCCCCTCGTCGTAGTGGGGGAAGCGCAACGAGATGTACACCGAAGAGATGAGCTTGAGGAAGGAATCGCCGAGCGTTTCCAGCCTTTCGAGGTTGACGATGTCGTTTGCCTTGGCAGCTGTTAGCGCCCTGGAAGGTGAAATAGGTGAGATGGTTATAATTAGAGTAGGTAGAGTTGATAGAGATGTTAGTTAGGTTCTCATTAGACCAACAAAACATTCGCTCCTTAGGAACTTGGTTAATTCTTCCCGATTTCATAATGTTTATCTTCACTAATGTTTCATAATAAACATTCTTGATTTTTCCTTTGACACATGTCATGTCTTGGATGTCATTTCATTTCAACTTCAAAGGACCCCGCACGAAAACACGGGAAATTGGCTCTCGGTCGAATTGGCTGAAATTTTACTATGTTGTTGTGGGATGGCTCATTAGAAAAATATGTGAGTTTAAAAAGTTTTGTATGTTTAGTTTCTGAGATATAAGCCGACAAAGTTCGTGAAAACGTCGTATCGGGGTAGGATTGATTAAGAAAAAAACTGTTTTTGTAGTATAAATAAGACAAAATAAGCTAGAAAATGTATTGATCGGAACTCAAATAAATGTCTAGTTATGATCACATAAATTATAGTTAATCAGGGTGTATACGAGGCACGGTCAAAAAATTCATTATTCGGAAAAAAATTCGAGCACTATTCTAAAACCAACAAGTTATATTTTGGTGGGACATCATTGTTTTAGTCTATTGTAGGCTTCGAAAACGTATTTTGATCCTTGATAACTATCTCTGTTCGAAATATGATTTTTTATAATTTTGTGTTACACCCCTTTTTGAAAACAATGGACAGCTTGTTTTTGATCACAAAGAGAGGGATTAATTGATACTGTTGATTGCATGAAAGCTGAGGTGACTCACTAGCGAATTCAGTTGTTCAATATTGCCTTTCATTTAGATACGAGGGTGTTAGATTTTGTTGATGATTATTTAACATGTTTCAATTGAATATCTCGAAAACAGTTCCGTTAATTTGGATCTCATTTTACTGACACTATTTTGAATATGTTGACTATCATATGCAAAAAGTTTTTCAATTTTTTATGTTTCGTTTCTGAGATATCAATTTTTGAGTTTACAGTATTACAGGTATTATAGGGTTATTACCTCGGATGTCACTATCGATTCAACAGAACTTTACGGAATTATTCAAACATTCAATTACATTATGAAACTATTAGAAATCAATAATTTTTTACTATAAACAACACGAACCACATAGAATAACAATATGAAACTCAACAGTATTGATTCCGTAAAGTTCAGTTGAATCGATAGTAATATCCGAGGTAATAACCCTATAATACCTGTAATACTGTAAACTCAAAAATGCATATCTCAGAAACGAAACATAATACATTGAAAAACTTTTTGCAAATGATAGTCAACATATTCAAATTAGTGTGAGTAAAATGAGATCCCAATTAACGGAACTGTTTTCGAGATATTCAATTGAAACATGTTTGATAATCTTCAACAAAATCTCACACACCCTGTATCTAAATGAAAGGCAATATTGAACAACTGAATTCGCTGAGTCACCTCAGCTTTCATGCAATCAACAGTATCAATCAATCCCTTTCTTTGTGATAAAAAACAAGCTGTCAATTGTTTTCAAAAAGGGGTACAACACAATATTCTAAAAATTCATATTTCGAACAGAGATAGTTATCAAGAATCAAAATACGTTTTCGAAGCCTACAATAGACTAAAACTATAATGTCCCACCAAAATATAACTTGTTGGTTTTGGAATAGTACTTGAATTTTTTTTCCGAAAAATGAATTTTTTGACCGTGCCTCGTATACTATAATTTATGTGATCATAACTAGACATTTATTTGAGTTTCGATCAATACATTTTCTAGCTTATTTTGTCTTATTTATACTACAAAAACAGTTTTTTTCTTTGTCAATCCTACCCCGATACGACGTTTTTACGAATTTTGTCGGCTTATATCTCAGAAACTAAACATACAAAACTTTTTAAACTCACATATTATTCTAATGAACAATCCCACAACAACATAGTATAATTTCAGCAAATTCGACCTAGAGCCAATTTCCCGTGTTTTCGTGCGGGGTCCTTTGCCTCCATTAGTTCAGTACGTTCAATGACAATTAAATCAAGGTCCGTCACTCATCAAGTTCACTTCAACAAAACATGTCGCAGCGACAATGGCTGCTAAACAAAATGTTATCTTTATTTTACCCCATTTGGGAAACACATTTTCATATGTTTGTACCGTAATTTATCATGATGTCGTTAGTTTTAAACTGGACCAGAGATATTTTCATGAACAAATTTCCATGTTGACCTCACTTTTATCAATTTCCAAATTCACATTTAACTATTTCAAATTTCGATTTTATGATGATGTCTTTTTTCAAAATCAAGAGTTCATCAATAAGTAACAAGTCACCAATTCATTTTTACCTTTTTTCAATATTAAATTTTTTTCCAAAAAACGTCTTTCCAATAGCTAGAAGCAGATTACTTTCTTACAGGTATGCACTGATGATGACTTAACAGTCGAAAGCGCTCTGCTACGAATATGAATTTGAATAAATTATCTTGCACGAAATACAACTCTTCCCTTCTTTGGTATACCTCCAAATGGCTGCCGTTTCCGGAATGTCATTCATGGTCAAGTCACTGAATAGCTAAAAATCTGAAGGGTATCTCGCATTCAATAATGAATTTTCGTCTTCGAAGTGCCCACTTGATGTCAGGTTTAGATATTTGATATTTTCATTCCATCATCTGAATAATCTGAGACTTACGAGTCCCAAAAGACGAGTTCTAATAATTAATATCCAAGGTATTGACGTATAGAGTTACATGTCTGATTGTTAGATGTTTTGTGTCCAAAGAGCAAAACACAAAGACAAGGCATTGACCTTCATATTAGAGGTCTGATCAATCAAAAAAAGTGTACCACTATTGTCGTCACTCTATTTATAAAGTCACCCTAGTTATAATAGGCAAGTGAACATTTTTCTTCATTACACATGTTCTTAGATTTTTTTCGGTCGATTTTAAGGTCAACAATAATGCCACGGGAAATATTATTATATATTATTCCCATAAAATACTTGAAATGTATTTACTTTTGCCTCATTTATTCAAATTTGCAATATTTAATTTCTATTTGGGGGAGTACAAATATTTCACGTTTGAAACCTCTAATGAAATTACAAAACAAATCAATTAAGTGCATTTTTCATATACATTTTCTAGAACCAACGATAAATTTATACAAACCAAGACATTTTCTGAACCTGATTTCGTTATATAAACTTAAAATATGTTGCTTTATTCATTTTGCCAGGAATAAGTTGAAAATATCAAATTTAGCTTTCAATGAAGTCAATACAGTCCATAATTATGGGACTAGACAATTGAATTACTTGATTGCAAATACATTCAAGTCAAACATTGGCAAACAATCTGTTTTTCACAATGGAATAATTTTATACAATTCATTACCGAATGAGTTAAAAAATATACATGATGCAAGAAGGTTTAAAATCAATCTTAAAAAATACTTGCTCAGGACAATTTGAAAGAAAAATATGTGGCATGATTTGATTACTTAGGAATGAAATATAACTTTAATCTTATAAGACACAATATTAATTCGTTTCCACTGAGTGGAATTCATTATAGTTAACCCTTTATTATTTTTTTTATATGTATTTATGTATCCCTATCATAAACAGAAATGTTTCTTGGGGTAATAAAGACAATCAATCAATCAATCAATGATGGAATACGATTGGGAACTTTGAAAATATTATTCATTCAATAAGTCATAAATTTACAATATTGATAATATTCTTAATGAGCCATAAAAAGTCAATTGTTTCAAAATTGTCTCTCTTATGTGTTGTGGCTTATTGCTTACAATAAATTTGTGTTAATAATGTAAGAGGACATTTGGTCAGGTAACCATGATAACATGGCAATGGTCGTGGGTGGTGTCTTGTCAGTTCTAAACTTTCAAAAAAGGTTGCCAAGTCTCCAGCCAACATTTACATGATATTGTACTAAGGAGCTGGTTGCACGAAGAAGTCAACAATGAATAACTATAATGTCATGGCTTCCTCCTATTATGTCAAATAAAATACTTAATTTGCCATGCAGTAATGAATTTGCGTCTTCGAAGTACCCAATTGAACTTAGGTTGGGATATTTGATATTTTCATTTCATCATCTGAATAATCTGAGACTTACAAGTCCCAAAAGACGGGTTCTAGTAATTAATATCCAAGGTATTGACGTATAGAGTTTTATGTCTGATTGTTGGATGTTTTGTGTCCAAAGAGCAAAAAACAAGGACAAAGCATTGACAAAGTGAAATAGAATGCGTAGAACAGAATGGAGAAAACAAGACAGGTGGATGCACCTCCATATTAGAGGCATAACCAATCAAAAAGGTCACTCTATCAATAAAGTCACTTTAGTTGTAATAGGCAAGTGAACATTTTTTTATTTTTTAAATAGAATCATCACTCAACTATTTTTCAATTCCACAAGTTTTTAGATTTTTTTCGGTCATGGTTACTGATGAGGATTCAGAAATCCGAAATGGTTTCATTGCAATAAAGTAATATTACCTGTGTGTGAGAGATAATATTTCCCATATCACTGATATGAATGATTATTTTTGGAAGTTTTCAAGCTCATCAAGATCAGAGTTCATGCCAGTATACTTCTCCTATACATTCCAATTTTCATTTCAATGCTGAATATATTGGTAAGTCATATTTTTATATCATTATTCATCATATTATTCATCCGATTTGAAGAAGAATGTCAATTCTCAATTTCGGAGGATTTTATTCTTTATTTTTCATGTTCTCCTTTTGAATGTTCATCAGATATAATTCAATGTTCGACGTGGCAAATAGCCAGGAAAGTAGTTGTTTTCTGTTGAATATTCAGAATGATGTGTGCATATACATATTTTTGTCTGAAGGAGAATGCAAATTCTCAATTTCAGAAGTTTTTATATTTTATTTTCAAACTCTTATCGTGTGGGTTCAATAGATATAATTCAATGTTCGTCGTGGCATATAGCCAGGAAAGTAGTTGTTTTCTATTGAATCAACTGAAAAAGAGTAAATATTCTCATCACATAGAGAATGCGAATTCTCAATGTATTGCTTTATATAAATATATATCCATTTTTGTATGTTCATAATTTATCTGAGAATATTACTTTTCAACACTTAGATTCCTAAATTCAACAATAATACCACGGGAATCATCCAAACAGATTTATTTTATGTTCTGGTTCCCACGAAAAGGGATATCCTGTAATGTTCAGAGAACATCGTGGGAACCACTGAAAATAAGGTAGGAATTGGTGTTCTTCTCAAATTTCTGGAGGTTATATGCCTCAGGGAATACCTCCCTTGGCAATGTGTTCCAGAGCCTCGCTGTTCGTTGGATGAACGAGTCTTTGGAAAGAGATGTTCTGCAAATAGCAATTGATAACACGATTTCGTGAGAAAGGGCAGTCCATAGCACAGTTGCCATATGATGGAATTCGATTGGGAACTTTGAAAATATTCTTAATTACCTATAAAAATTCCATTGTTTCAAAATTGTCCCTCTTATGTTTTGTGGCTTATTGCTTGCAATAAATTTGTGTGAATAATATAAGAGGACATTTGGTCAGGTAACCATGATAACATGGCAAGGGTCGTGGGTGGTGTCTCCAGTCAACATTTACATGATATTGTGCTAAGGAGCTGGTTGCTCAAAAAAGTCAGAAATGAATAACTATAATGCCATGGCTTTCTCCTATTATGTCAAATGAAATACTTAATTTAAATATATTTCTATTCAACGATAGCCTTTTTAATAATTTGATTATAATTGATGACTTGACAACCTTACGAAGAACAACCTAAGAACGTGGTGTATGTCCACCAGATGACATTTTCATAGTTTGGCCACATAACCTTATGAAACTAGATAATTTTCGAGATCATGTGAACAATACCGACCCACCATGAAGTTCACTTTGGAAATGGAATCTGACAATCAGTTACCATTTTCATATGTCCTTATTAAAAAATCAAACATTGTTTTCCTAACAAGTGTTTATCGTAAAAAGACTAATAGTAACAGATACCTCAATTTTTAATCAAACCATCAGAAAACTATTAAAAAAGAAATAATCAGATCACTTCAGATCAAGCAAAATGAAAGGAATGATCAAATCACTTCAGATCGAGCCGAATCAAAATCATATAACCAACAAATTTTTAATAACGAAATCCACCACACTGAAAATGTTTTTCAACTCAACTCATATCCAATGATGATAGATGATTCAGCAAATTGAAAACAAACAAAATACACCACAACAAAAACAACCATCGATAACGACGAATATAATACTGTACAATCCTGACATATCTGAAAAAATAAAACGTGTTGGTGATAACTTTCAAGTGAAAACTGTGCTCAAAACTGAAAATACAATGAGATCGATTCTAACTCAAACAAAACCGAAAAATGAAGAACAATCATCACAAAAATTCATTTGTATATGCCATGTGTTTGTGGAAAGTATTATACAGGTGAAACGAAGAGACCTCTCTGTAAGGACAAAAGAACACAATATCTTGAAAAAACATATCGATAAATCAAAGTTAACTGAAAATATCCTTACTGGAAATGGACAATATATGACAGAGTGGAATAATATAAAAATCATAGGAAAGAAAGATAACAACCAAAAGAGAAAAATCAAGGAACCCGCTTGCATTTTTATGAACGCTTCCTTTTCAGTTGATATAGATAGAACATGGTATTCACACTACTGAAAACTGAACATGCAAATGGTAGATTCAAAATCAATTAATGAATACATCCTGTAACTCATTTGTATCCTAACATCATCAATTATCCATATGCCAACATCAGTATGACACGGGAAAGTGACAAACTAGAACGGAATTTTCGAAAAATATTTGGCATTTTTATGTTAAGACCCTGAACAGATTTGTTCCAAAGCTAAATAACAATTCGATATTTTTTCAATATATCTATATTTCTTCTTTTCAAACTTTTTTCCAAACAAAGTGTCACTGACAAGCTATTGAGTTTTTCTTTGAGGCTTCCTGATGGAATTTGTTTTTACACGCAGTGACATTTTGGGGCAAATCATCTGATTTGTCCTACCATACATACAGGGTGATTCACATAAGAACCGACATAGAGCAGGGGCATGTAGGGGGTCCTAAAATATGGCAATTTAACGCAACTTACCTCCATACCAAGTTGCTTCCCTAAGGAGTTATAGGCTTTGAAAGTGAAGTTATAAATTTTGAAAAAAATCAATATCTCCGTTATTCTTGAACTCAAAGCAACCAAATTTGGTACACTTTGTGGATGTATTTAGGGCGTTACTTGAAAGTAACTAGAGTTCAATTGAAATTTGTAAAGGGGGTATACCGGGTAGCGCACCATTAATATTCAATAGAATTTTGTTAACCCTTGATGGATTTTAAAAATCTTTGCTTTGTTTTGTGGGAAATTCAATTCTAAAACTTTTCTTAGTCCAGTAATTTCTCGAAAAACCTCATCATTTCCATCAAAAACTCGAATAACTGAAAACGCGTGCTCTAGGTGTGTTATTTAAAATCATCGAAAATTCAAAAGTTGGCTATGAAAATAAACGTCAAACTTAACAATGAAGCAAGTAAGTTGTTCAATTGAGTATTTTATCGTTAAACAATCGTTTGTTCTAGTTGTTGTTCAAGTTTTTTGTGTTTATTTTGGTTAGTTGTTAATCCCAGTTTTTCACATTTCAGTATCTGTCCTTACTTTACGTATTTTGTTACGTATCTAAATAATAAGTTTCCAGCCAATTTCTACTGATCACAATTAATGACCTACTTTCTTGTTGTACGTTTATTTTCATAGCCAAATTTTGAATTTTCGGTGATTTTAAATAACACACCTAGAGCGCGCGTTTTCAGTTATTCGAGTTTTTGATGAAAATGATGAGGTTTTTCGAAAAATTACTAGCCTAAGAAAAGTTTTAGAATTGAATTGCCCACACAACAAAGCATATATTTTTGAAATCCATCAAGGGTTAACAAAATTCTGTTGAATATTAATGGTGCGCCACCCGGTATACCCCCTTTACAAATTTCAATTGAGCTCTAGTTACTGTCAAGTAACGCCCTAAATACATCGACGAAGTGTACCAACTTTGGTTGCTTTAAGTTCAAGAATAACGGAGATATTGATTTTTTTCAAAATTTATAACTTCACTTTCAAAGCCTATAACTCCTCAGGGAAGCAACTTGGTATAGAGGTAAGTTGCGTTAAATTGTCATATTTTGGGACCTCCTACATGCCCCTGCTCTATGTCGGTTCTTATGTGAATCACCCTGTATATTGAGATAATACTCATATTTTTATTTTGTAGAAACGAGGAGAAAATACCAAATAATCGATTAAAATGAATGTACCACCTCCTCAATTAACCTACAGACAGTATTTTCCATTTACATCGACAACAATTATTGTTAACCACCATAGAATGGCATCATCAACTTCAAACGTGACGGGTGATATGAATGGAAATGGAATGGAATAGCGAATAGCCCACAATTGACATTGGGAGGGGACTGTGGCGCATGCGTCAAAAGAGAGGTCGCTTCTTACCTGTACAGCTCGCACAGCTCAGGTCCGTCCTCGCCCAACGCCGTATCCAGCAACGCCAACGGTTTCTGCACGAACTCCGGGCTTCCGGCAATATTAAGCTTCTTGTCCACCATCGAGCTATCGATCGACACCTTGCCAACCTCCGGCTTCTGACTGATGAACGTCTCGTACCTGTAGGTTATCAATTCATTTTTGAAAATGATACAAATATGAAAAAGATTCGCAACAGTGTAGTTATCCTGCGACTGAGATTAAGATCGTAGCGCCAGAACATCTAATGTCGGTACTACTCTATGGACCATTGGCAGATTGTTTACATTGTTCAGTAATGGTGTTTATGTTCATTCGTTACTACCGATACAACAAGGCCTGCATGCTCCGTGGGTGACGTCACTTAGTGAGGCCTAACCAGCGGCTCGAAACGACAAGCGCTTATAGCGCTATAAGGCGACCGCGTATTTCGATTTTAGTTTTAGATCATCATTGAGCCGATTTTGCTGTTTTTTGAAGGGCTTCCGGTTAAAAAAGGATGCCAGTCGTCAACTGAGCCCTTCTTCGCACCCCATTCGATTTTATTATGGAAAAACGAAGTTTTAAAGCAAAAACCAGGATAAAACACAAATATCCACCTACAGCAACCCATTCGAATTAAATATATTGGCAATGATTGTGGTGAAGGTGAACTTCACACCTACTTATACAGGGCCCGCAGAACATAAACTTATCGTGAGATTGATCGAAAGAAAATTGTGGAAAATGTATTTTATTTTGATTGACATGCCGTTTGTTACAATTACCTATATTTATCTTGGAGAATTCCTATTACCTGAAAAAATAACCAGTGAGTGTTTTCAATTTTCTGTTGTTGGATTTTTCACCCAAGTGGATCGTTACACTTGAAACCGTACGTATGCGATGGTTTTTTTTTTAATTTTTTTTTTCGGAACTCACGTATTTTTGTCTGATAAATAAACCGAATTTTATAATGAAAATGTGAACAAACCACTATTTATTGAGATATATCAGGAAAAAGTTCGAAATTTCGCCTTCTTTCTCCCCTTGTGTTGGGGGCATTTGAAGCTACTTGCTCTTATTTTGTCATTGGACACTTTATATACTCATGATGTACTTCGATGGAACATTTTTATATAGAAAATTCAACAGGAAATATGATTTTTATGGCGAGTTTTTCATATTTAGTGAACAAGCATTCCAGATGACGACCATTTAATCAATAGTCAATCAAAATACGAGATGTCAAATGTCAATAGATTGCTTTCGAATGACATTACACACGCCATTATTTTGAATGATATTCTTCCTTCTTTTCACTAAATATGGATTAATCTCAAGAAAATCATATTTATAGTTGAATTATATATAAATTGTCCAATATGATGAAAAAAGAAGGGAAATTTGTTCTAAATGCCATCCAGAAGACAGGTGAAAAAGAAGGTGAAATTTGGAACTTTTCAGTCAAATATCTTCATGATAAATATAATGATAAATGCAGGTTTACCTTTTTTGAGTAGAGTGTTTGTAGTTCATGTTAATATGATAGTTGCAATTTGATCATTGGAATGAATTCTGCATTCATTGCCACGAGGCAAATGACCGTTCAGAAAGAAATTTGAGAATGTAATGAGTTAAAAATGCCCGTTTATTATGAACATTCAAGAAAATTTCCTCGAATTCAGAGATGATTTTGTTTACTATGTAACTCCCTTTTTATATTCGAAAATATTAAAAGGGGTTTGTGTAGCTTTTATTGCTCTTGCCTTTGGGCTGCTCAGAATTGATACGGGAGGGTCGGGGTAAGGATCTTCGTCTGGTGTGAGAATTTCCTTTATTGGCCAATTTATCAGAAAATTGCGCTAATACCTCTTGGATGAGATAAGTTAATTACAAGGTTACTATTTAAGATAAGATAATTATGTTAGTTAAGTTATATTGAGATAGGTCAAGATACATTAAATTTTTGTGGGCGCCAGGACCTTTTTTTAAAAAAAAAAGATGCCAAAAAAAGAAAAAGAAGTCTTTAAGAAGAAAATCACTTGGGAAACAGAAATTCTCACCTCAGACGGTATGAATGTTCTCTAATAGAATAAATAAGTCAGATTCATACTAACATTATATTTACAAAAAAACTTGAATGATCGATTTCTGTACAACAAGAAGTTATTATTTACAATTGACTATTATTCCACTTAATCAAAATGATTCAGATTATATTACTGGATAAAAAAATTATGATGATCAACCACTATCCATGATTGATATCTATACAACAAGAAATTGTCATTTACAATTGACTATCATTCCACTTAATCAAAATGATTCAAATTATATTTCTGGATTTAAAAAAAAATGAATTACGACGATCAACTACTATTCAATATTATTGATTAAGGAATATTAATGAATTTGTCTCACAGAAAAATTTTACTCTTTTTGGTATGCAGTTTTCTTCTGTCTGGAACTAGCTGCCTTATTGATATGACCTCCTCAAAGTGAGACTTACTCTGTCCCAGCCCTCAGGTATATATTGGCCCACCTTTGATCTGCTGACGATTTCTCAATGTTCAGGATCTGTAGTTGTAGCTTTAATGGCCTCCTGACATTTCTGAGTCGGGCTTCAGCTAAGGTGAGTGTTTCAGCTTGTGATATGGCTCATGGACAATTTCAGTCTCCAACTTTGCTTCATTCCGGAATGGAGTATTCTTGAAATTCCTGTACAGACAATATCTACAGCAGTATGTGCACTACCACAGAGTAAGGAAGAAATACAATCAGAACCATCTGGTTCAGAGTAGGTACAAATTCATTCAATACTTAATCAATGATTAACAAGATAAATACTCAAAATGAGTAGTTTTATCTGCTTCTGCTTTGAAGATAATCGAAAAGGAAAAATGATCGTGAATCTCTCTCGATCTTCAATCCATCTGTCAAAAAAAATATATATATATATGTTATACAACAATTGCCTTCAACAATGTGAAAATCAATTTGAGAATAAAGTGGATTAATCCAGTTATGACAACAACAAAAAAAAAAATTATTTTCTTTTTAATAATACTGTATGTATAACTTGAGATACGCAAATTCGAAATATGGACTCTGACTTTGGTGCAACAGCATGTATGAATCTTCAAATCTTTAGAAAAGTACTTAGAATAGTCACTCTGACTACTTCTGGTGAAATCTTTTACTAATGACCAACCATGTAATGCTGAAATTTAAAAGATAATGTTTATTCTGAAACTATCTGAGAAAGTCCAAAATCTCCAAAAAAAAAAGTAAGTCTCATTGCATGACTAGAGCCAGAAAACACATCAGTACCCTCTCTGAAAGCAAATGGAAGATAATGGAAAGGTGGCCTTCGTGTCAATAGGTAATTTAAACTGAGGAAAAAAGATATTTACTGCTGATTATTCGTCAGTTTGTCTGCTTTCTGCCAGATAAGAAAAATAAGTGAAAAGTTAATACAAAAGAAATGCTTTGCACATGCTCAACGAGTGATATTACAAGAGGAGAGAAGGAAACACTCTGGTAACCAAAATTTCGAGTGAGAAATAAAGTACAGGTGAGATTATGCACTTGCAAATTGTTTTCTGTAAAGAAATAAATGCATCACTCACCTGAACTCAGATTCCTCGAAGGTCTCGGCCACCAATGATTCCTTCTATCCTTGTCCTTGATCAATCACGTTCCAGATGTAGATATGGCTAACTGGGTACGTTTCCAGAATGTGTTCCAAAATATCTCAAATTCAGTTTCCTCTCAATAATATTCTGGGACCACGTCCGAATAAATTCCAATAAGTCTCCAGGTCAACCTACAAAAAAACTAGGCAGGAAATGTGCTTTGACAATTTTCCTTTTAAACTTCTTCACTTGTGTGAAGAGGAATAAAATCGTAGATACGAAATTTGCATATTTGCATGGCAAATTTCTGGAAGATAAATTCAATTCATTTACTACAATGATTGAGAAGATGAGATAAGATAAATTCCGGGAGATCGAGACGAAAGAAAGTGTACGGCTTCCTCTAAAAAAAAAACCACACAAAATGGCGTGGGCTCAACCACGTTCTAGGTAATTTCTATTTACCTATATATAATTTCCTGGAATTAAATAATTATAATAGCAATTAAAGGACGAAAGCAGGCAAGATGATGATACTCAGAGATAACAAAGTTAAAGCCAGATAATGTGAAAAACCTCACCTTTCCATTTGCCTTCAGATAAGATTTTCACCAGAGGTGACCACGATGTTTTCTCGCTTGTAGTCCAGTCGCAAGAGAGCTTTTGAGAACCGGTCCTAATTCCGTATCGCACTCCCGATTTTTCGAAAAGAGAGAGATAAACTCTTTCATTGCACTAGTTGAAGCTAGACACATACACGTATGGTCACAAATTTCGCCAACAGAGCACAGCGACTCTCCGAGCAAGGTGATCATGGGCGTAGCAATCAATGGGGCAGAATGGGTAATCACGGTAAAAGTGACGGATCGTGAAACATTCCGTTACACCCTTCCCCTTCTCAGATAGAAAAATTTTTGAAACCTACGTTGAAGAAAATTTTTCCCCAAGACTACGTCCACTGGGAACACTCTTAGAGATATCAGGAGCCAGCACCTCGTATATGAACTTCCGTGGCTGGAACAACAAAGGAATTCACTCTCAGGATAATCAGACCAGACATGATGATCCTCACCAGTATCAGAATCTCAAACTGAAGCTGCAAAAATGCTATCTATGATGCATACATACATAGTCAGGAATTACCTAACTTAAATAAATGGTAGGCCGAAAATAAAATGTAAATTTTGATTTAGGGCAAAGCCGAATCAACTGAGCCCAAGGATCCACCATAAACCCTAATGAGACAAGTCCTCATCAACCTGAAATAATGCTCGAGTGGCATTAGAGAAAAAAAATTAGTACACAAAAATTATTCGGGAGTGTTCCTATTCACACAGGATCTGGTCTTCCTGAAAGGAATACTTCTCGCAAGCGAGAGAGTAGCACCGTCAGAATCCCCACACATTGGATCCGCCTAAGCATGATCCAACACTTGGACATCCCTCCAGCACAACCACATCATCAAATGGCATGACGACCCTCATCAACACCACCCAATGACCTAATCCTGAGCTTCCAAGGTCC